CGCTCTTCCCTCTCACGCTGATCTAGTTCGGACGCAGAAACGTTCTGCGCGCTTCACCCGCGCGCGTATTCCAAACAATTTTACTGCAACACGCACCGCTAAAGTAGCGTTTAGAGCCAGGCTCGAGCTGACATGCATGCGTCCATTCATGACAAAGTGTTCGAGGCTTATCGAACACTTTAAAAAGTAAGCCCGCGTAAAATACTATAGCCAGTTGGACCACCTTTATAACTATAAACATAGAATATATTTCTAGTAAACGAGGGAATGACTTGTCTCTCAGTCACTTAAATTCCTGAAACGCGTGTAATTATGAATACATATGAGAAGTCCAATGCATAGTGCACGCATTCTAAAAGTACTGTTTCAGCGAGGCTATTTTATCTTCTATTGCATGGTCTGATGACCAGAAGCATTTATAAAGTAATTGCAAGAAAATAACGCGCCTCGGTAACCATAATAACTGTCATCTACAAGTAGCTCATGGTCAGTCGTAGATACCCAAAAACTATTCCTGTGTAGTTTTTTTTTTTTTTTTGTGACCCCTTGTAGAAATCAAGTTTTACTCTGCTGGTGTGATCACACGGAGATCAAATAAACTAGGCGTCAATTGACTTAAAGTGTAAAACCAGGCAGGCTATTAAAACCAACAGTGTAAACAACACCTGTTATTTCTCTTGAATATGCACTGAAGGTACTGTGGCGTGAACTATGGACAGGGAGAGAGCCGTCTATCACACTGCTGAAACACCGTCGTCTCAAAATGGCATACTTTTGCCAATAAACATATCCATCCAATTACAAACATTCATTCTTAAACTTTTTCTGAAACTGCCACGTTAGCATTTTTTTTTTAAAGAGAAAGATTTGAGTAAGTTGTAGATACAATACAAATTAACATATCAATATAGCCCTAAACATAAAACATTTTTTTAAAGTCTGAACTTATTTTACGAACTTGACGTAAGCGCAAATTAACTGGCAACAGCAGTGACTATAGATAGAAAAAAATAGAAAAAAGGTACTGGACCATACTTTATCAGATGCGATATCATGGTATGTTTATACATAACATAATGCTGAAATCCATGCAGCATCGTATTTACATACTCCAAATTATATTCAAGCATGCCCAAGACAACACTGTTATATAGTAGCCTAATTTTTGTCAGTGTATCAAGCTTACTTGGCTGAAAGCTACTGTTTCTGTAAACAGCCAAGCCGGGTCAAATCAATTTTTGGCACTGTCTCGTGAAGCATGTTTACTTTGTTTTATTTACAGATTCAGGTTGCTACTGCCATGCGAACATGACAAGAAACTACAGTTTGTAGCACTTTTTGAGACAATGCCGAACTCCCGGTTGTGACTTCGGCACACGATCTGAGACTTCTGCCGGTGAGGAAGCGCCTCTGTCGGTGTAGATGTCAAATTCATGCCGGCGAGCCTGCGGCCATTTTCTGCTGAGCAAACTCTACTGCTGGGCATCTGCCTCTACTGGCTTTAAACTTCAACTTGGCCTTCGGAGTCCCGTGGTTAACACAGGCACGCACACACCTTTTTTCCTTCGCCTGTCACAGAACTAATAACTTTCATTACGGGAGAAAAGCCAAATCGCTTGCTATCTTAATCATTGCGCGTCTCAATAGCGAGAATAATACGCCAGCATTTGTAAGCCTTTCCCACAAAGCCTTACGTTTGGCCGAAAACCAACGAGAAAAGGAGTAACCGGCTGGTAAGAGAGGAAGTGGGGGGAAACCGAAACACGGCGCCTGTGCGTTGATGATGATCTCATTTGACTTTAAGAGTGCACAACTCGTGATCTGCCTCGTCTTTAGGAACAACGACATAATAATGATGAAACTGATTTGTTAACGTACCATTTCGAAGCGAAACTGCCAACCTCCCCCCCCCCAAACAAAGTTAGAGCTCAGAGGCTTTTGTAGTTCTGCAGTTCAACGCTTGGTCATCTCGTCGGAGGCTTTTATAACTCCGTATCCATTTATCTTCGCAAAGAAGTAATCCGTGCTCTTCGGATGGGAGGAATAAACCCGGACACTGACCAAATACAAAACGTCCCACGCGAAGTCTTCGAGCCTCGTCCAATCCGAAATCCTCGTTACAAGGTACAGAAGGACATAATAAATATTTTACAGTAATGCACGGCTTGCTGCAGAGAATGCACTGGCTGGAGGTGCAGGCTGTTGTTTTGGTCGTGTATCTTTAATTTACAGTGCTGAATCGACGGTCTCATAGCTTTGCAGCATTGCACATGCAGCGCGCATAGATGTCCTTGTGTATAGATTGGAATCAATGCCTCGTCTGTTCTTTTGTTTCTTACAACACGAATAGCAACACAGACGGTGTTCTGAGCTCCATACACACATCTTACAGTCCTCGCGGTGAATGAATTGATGAAATACGGGGGTGGCGTGCGTGCGTGAGTGTGTGTGTGTGTGTGTGTGTGTGTGCGTGCGTGCAGTGTAGCCACTCGTTTAGAAGAACTGCACTTGATGGCGTAGTTTATACAGTGTGTATGTATATATATATATATATATATATATATATGTACT